CAGCAGAAATTTTTTTGTAACCTTGGTCAGATCTGTGCCTTGCCACAATTCTGTTTCTGAGCTCTTCAGGCAGTTCCTTTTGACCTCATGATTCTCATTTGCTCTGGCATGCACTGTGAGCTGTAAGGTCTTATATAGACAGGTGTGTGGCTTTCCTAATCAAGTCCAGTCAGTATAATCAAACACAGCTGGACTCAAATGAAGGTGTAGAACCATCTCAAGGATGATCAGAAGAAATGGACAGCACCTGAGTTAAATATATGAGTGTCACAGCAAAGGGTCTGAATACTTAGGACCATGTGATATTTCCGTTTTTCTTTTTTAATAAATCTGCAAAAATGTCAACAATTCTGTGTTTTTCTGTCAATATGGGGTGCTGTGTGTTCATTAATGAGGAAAAAAAATTAACTTAAATGATTTTAGCAAATGGCTGCAATATAACAAAGAGTGAAAAATTTAAGGGGGTCTGAATACTTTCCGTACCCACTGTATATATATATATATCATATTCAACCCCAATTCACTAGAGGGTCTTTAATATTTCAGTTAATTTGAATGTTGAATTATTTAAAAAAAATAAGTTTGAGTGAATGATTAAAAGACTTAAGACTTCACTTGTTTCATTATCGGATGAATCAACATTTTTGAATGTCTTGAATGTCTTGAATGAATGACTCCATGACATACATTTCTAGTAGTCACTTGTCGTCACCTAGTGATGTAATGATATAATTGATACAACCTTTTTTTAGAAGCTAAAGTTACTTTCAAAATGTTTCAAAATTTCAAAAACTCTATTTTGGTCGCTATTGTAGACATTAGTGTTTATATCAGAAATACAAACTTATTTGTATTGTACTGATAATTTGAATTATTGTAAGAAAAATAATGATACTGTGTGACTGAAAAGACTGTGTTTGTGAAGCTGTTTAATAGTACCTATACATGACAACAGCTCTCTGGCTCAGAGATGCAAATCTGAATGTTTGCTGTGATCGTACTTGACATCGCTGTCATTTAGGAATGAGATCGCGTGACTGTTTGAATTGACCTAAGAGTAAGCACCTCCCCTCAAACGCAGATGAGCCAATGGCAGTCGAGTATCAGTTGCACGGGGAACAGAACACAGACATCTTTAGGTTTCAGCGCCATAGAGAAACATTGAAAGATACGAAGCTTTCATCGGTTTGATGGTGTTTATGCTACAAAAATGAAAAAAAAAAAAGTGCCTGGGGTACTTGAAACACTGATTCCAGGTATCCTGAGAGGATAGGCAATATAATTTATTTTATTACATTTCCTAAACCCAAACAAAAATGTCCCTAAGTATTCAACCCCAATCCCAATGAAGACAAAAACTTTCATTTTCTGGTTGTCATACTCTCATTAAGTTGCTATTTTCATCTGCTCAAGCAGAACGTTAATGACATCTTGTGCTTCAGCAAGGTATCTCTGGCTAAAACTAACGTTAAAGTTAGTGAGTCAATGCTAACGTACAAACCTAAATAGCGAACTGTTCTCACGTCATGTACAGTGTAGGTCAAAAACACATAAACAAAGGTCTACGTTTCAGTGCCTCTCCATATTTAAAGGTGCACTAAGCAATTTTTGAAAAATGCTTTTGACCACAGCATCGGACCGAGTCCCAAAGCACACTTGTAGCCAATTAGCAGTAAGGGGGCATGTCTTGTAATGATAAAGAAAAGAGAATGCTCAATTTGACTGCACAGGACGGATATTAGCAGATCGATTATAGAAAACATTAAAAAAAGGGTTACAATCAAGCAAGAACTAGGACCCGCGTAAATATTGGAGCAGCTTTCCAGCGGTGGAGAGAACTCATATACAGGTGCATCTCAGTAAATTAGAATGTCGTGGAAAAGTTCATTTATTTCAGTAATTCAACTCAAATTGTGAAACTTGTGTATTAAATAAATTCAATGCACACAGACTGAAGTAGTTTAAGTCTTTGGTTCTTTTAATTGTGATGATTTTGGCTCACATTTAACAAAAACCCACCAATTCACTATCTCAACAAATTAGAATACTTCATAAGACCAATAAAAAAATTTTTT